GAGGGGGGTTAAGGAAAACAGGGGACCGACGCTCATGACCACAGACAGGCGATCAGAAATCCGCAATCGTATAATAGCTACTTACCACCTCCACGCCCGAATAACCCCAAAAGACCAAATGCCTCGGCGTGAAGATGCTCAAGCCCATCGCGACCCAGCATGACCCCTGTTTTTATGACGATTGGAAGCGAAACTGGATTCTAAATTGGGGATCCTCATCCCTGAGCGAATCAATACATATAGGAATCTTTCTAGACTTCATCAAGTGCAGAAACGAGTGGATAACTTCTGGTGGTTGTTCCGGTGAACATGTGCAAGTGGCTATGGTCGTGAGTACTGTGTGAACAAACGGGGCTGGGAAGAAAGTACTATTGATGCTGCACGCTATGCGCGCATGCTTTAGGAGGCTATTCCCACCGAGCGAGCAGTCCTATTAGAGCAATACGAAAATGGCAAAAAGCGTGCTAAATACGGCGTGGATGTACTCAACTATGTTATCGCCGCACCTACGAGATTGCGGCCTGAAAAACCGCCTTTATTTGGTCGAAGTCGAAAAGGGACACGTTGGCCTTGCGACTTTTGAATGTGAAGGATTGCGAGCAAATCTGACGGGCGACACTAGCAATCACTCAACTATGCTACTTTGCGTGCCCTACTAAAAACTGATCTCTACAACGTCTGAGCCAATCGGGCTCATGGCATACTTATGAGATTTTCCCCGTTTAGATATTTGCACGTGTGTCCTTTTGAATTGCCATTATATTTCGTCATCTCTCGTTTCTTGTTCCTCATTAGAAGATATAGTCAAGAGAAAAGGAACGATTCTTTCAATGACGAGACATTGACCCCCTTTTACCCTTGCTCTCGCGTCTCGCATCGGTGGCTGATCTAAGGAATTCATTCTTTGCTATCAATACGTATCCCGAGCCCTCCACCCCCTTCCTCAACGTGTCGGTGGTTAGCAAATTGTAAAGAATCGATGAGATCTGGAAAAAACGGGCTAAAATCACAATTACTCAACAGCTAGCACAAAACAATTCTGCTGATAACAATAATTTCACTCATAAAAAGTACCCTTTAACTCCCAAACCAGCAACCAAAGTTAATACAGCTAAAGTAGGGACGAAACTTCAGAGCCTTTAAACCCCTGCAATAATCCTCCTTTCCCCTCATTTCTAGCAAGTTTGGCGTGAAGGTCAAACCTTAAATTCACGAGTCATTGCAATAGCGGGGCTTTATAATTTGTTGTAGATCCTGATGTCATTAGATTGGCAGCTTACAGACTTTTCCTTAATATGAACGAATTCTTTTCGACCAAGATTCATTACGCTTCTGAAGCGTTATAAGGAGAAGGATTCCACTTGCGGAAACAAGATTATCGTGCGAACGTTTTTTACGTTTTTGGAAAAAAAAACGAATCATTGTTTTCTTCTGTTTCCACGCTTAGGATTTATGGTGTACTACTGTTCAGCGCAGCACTTCCCTGGTAAAAATTGACAGTATAATCTGTGTTCCAAAATACCATAGACCTACAGCCGGCTGTAAGATTTCCAATAGCTTCTATAGCCGGCTACACAATTTCTTGTAGCCTTTTATAGCCGATGGCGACTAAGCAATAGCCAGGCGATAAAGTGTATGCTAAACGTTACTAATTACGGATGCTAGGACTTAGTGAGTTTTTGGGCCACTGCTCTCTCTTTGGGCCGTAGTATCTTGATTTATTTAGCGAGGAAAGCTCCGTACTTTTGATGGATGCCTGCCATTTTTAATATAATCGAGTGCCTTCAATTCCGTATGATACTGTGCAATACCTTTGGTGTGAAATAGTTGCTTCAAGCGCCGTGGCACGCTGCGGCAGGCGGGCAGCCAGCGGGAAACGCGCATAGGCGCCTACAAACCTAACAGGGATACTTCAAGCGTTGCGCAATGCTTGAAGTATCCCTGTTAGGTTTGTAGGCGCCAGTGCGTCGCCGCTTCGCTTTGTGTTAGGCTCTAACATTTAATCTGGCGGAGTCAGCGTTATTCAGCTCATGATTTTGAAATGTATGCACATCCTGTATGGATTATTCTCATTTTAATTTATGAAAATAAATATGTATTAATGGAAAATATAATGTGTGTTTTGTAAATATTAAGGTGGTTCCGTATCAAACTTAATAATTTCCAAAGAACACGAATTTCTACACAATTTCTTATAGCCTTTTATAATCGATGGCGAAAAAGCAAGAACCAGGCGATAAAGTGTAACGCTCGGCTATAGGAACTATAGCCCGACTGCATAATTTTTTATCGCTTAGTATAGCCCGATCGCATGAGTTTCTCCGCATTCTACAGCCAGCTATATGATTTTCTGTACCCTTCTTTAGCCGGCTATAAAAATTCCTATGGTATTTTAAAACGCAGCTCTAATCGCCAATTTTTACCAGGGTTTGAATGGTCAACTACGGATATAATGTTTCGATAGGTGTGAATTGTTGCGGACAATTTGAATTTAGCGCGTTTGAGAAATAGTATTTGAGAATGGAATCATGTGGAATTTTTATGTTAAGAGTGGTTGATGTAACTGTTTTAACATTAGGTGACGATGAAGTGAAAGAATTTTTATTAAGACACGGGATGATTGCTAACTCTTTTACATGTCCAACTTGTGCATTTGAAGTTCTGTTAAATTGGAACACTATAAGAACTACAGATGTCAAAAATCTTACACAGACAGAAGTAAGCACACAAAAAAACGCAATCTCGCCGCTCAGTTTCTCATAATACATTTCTTAGCAGGTCTGACTCGTCTGGGGTAAACCATACCGAGATTAATTGCATACGCAGTACATTTACCACCCCCACGCGTACGCTTTTCAATGAGCGAATGAAATGTTTTCGATGATAGCATTACTTTCCGATTAGTTAGCGAATGTCAAGAAGAACTTTCGGTATTTTTACATAAAGCCGTGGTAGATGAATAAGGTGATTCGGTTCTAACGACCGAAACTCATTTATTGCTACGGTAGAAATTACTTAAATAATGCCGACTGATAAACTCAAGCAACCCTGTTGAACTTTATCCTTTATTAACGCACGGAACTAACGGAGTAGAGGGCGAGATGAAGCGAGAGAGGCTGGGCAGGAAATTCAGCGCCGCGCTCAGGACTGCCTTGCGCGTTCCCCAGAGTAGGGCGCGCGAATTGGATACATACAATATTCACGCCCCCGTTTTCGGCGGTTCACCCCCCCCCCCCCGCCCCCGCTCCAAACCTCGGATCATTCCGCACGTGGATTTTTGCAGCACCAGCGGGAACGGGCACCGGTTCCAACAACTGGAAAGCGAGAGTGAAGGGGGGGAGAGAGGGAGAGACTTTGATAGGATAACGCAGACTTCGACTTCCTTTTGACCAATATCGCAGTAAGAACAAGTTTATCCACAATTTAAAACCGTTATGCCTCCACCTTCAAACTTATTGATTCCGTCTAGGTATTATAAAATCAATGATGTTTTCGTGAGTCAATTATCACTGGTTGCAGGACTTAACCGAATTTTTCATCGCAGTTTTACGTTTTCATTATTGACGGTCGCAATAACTGAGCACCAAATGGTGTGCATTTCACTCGATTCTTACTTTTGAATCATGTTACGCCCGTAATCATGATTTGATGTATTTTAATGAATCCAACTTCATCTCCTAAATGAATCGAGAAATTGAATATTTAAAACTGTGCTTCCGGTAAATATGACGATTATGTGAAAGTAAGGGTTGCAATCGACGAACGCCTCTGCCTTCAAGTATGTCTGACTAGTCTATCATAAAATCAATGGCGTTTTCGTTGGTCAATTATCAATGGTCGCGGTACATGACCGAATTTTTCATCGCAATTTTAGGTTTTACTGACAATATTGACTGTCTCAATAACTAAGCACCAGATGATGTGTATTTCACTCGCGTGTTAATTTTAAATCATGTTACGCCCGTAACCATGGTTTAATATATTTCAATGAATCCAACTTCATCCTTAGATGAATCGAGAAATTGAATTTTTAAAACTGTGCTTCCGCTAAAGATGTCATATTAGAAAGTAAGGGTTGCAATCAATGAACGGGGAAAATGTCTGTCATTGAATGAATAAATTGTATCGCAACCGTGAGTATGGACAAGACACGTTCTGAAGCGATGATAGCGCGGAAGCGCGAAAGAGGTACTTGTTCGCTTCCCCATCATTAGGGATAGTCATATTGAAATTAAGAGTAATATTCCTCATCTTGTTCACTTGGACAAGTATGAGTTACAGGGATGAGTAAAAGTGGGGCTCGAGGACAAGGCGCATAGATGCAGTTTTTGCTCACTGAAAAAAAAGGAATCTTAAACTCGTCGCCAAAAAAAATTTAGCTTAAATCAAGACTGTAGCTGCTTAAAATAAACTACTATTTTATTTAACCCGAGCGTTTTTTTCCCTCGGACCAAGAAAAATTCAGCTTAAATCAGGAATAAAAAAAATCCTTGGCGACAAATTCAAGAGCCATTATGCTTGAGCCAAGCACTCTTTTTTTCAGTGTATTTTGAGAAATACGTGTCGGAAGTTTCAAAATTACATGGATCTTTATGGCGGTAAAAAAGTTTAAACTGACCTTTGGATGCTTAAAATTTGGAATTTGGGAGCGGATTGTTCACAGCGTATGCATTATGACTAGTTTAACTTGAAATCATTAATATCTCAATTCTTTTAAAAACTGCACTTATGCGCCTTGTCCTCCACGCCTTTCAAATTTACTATCAATAAGAAACGTACATTTTTTAAGTGGCCGTGTACCTGCCAGCCGGAGCTATGTGCATTAAGACAAGAGACCTGAGACCCACAAGGATATGTACATAACAGGGCTCACGCCAGAACGCACATAGTTCCGTTTGGCAGAAATACGTCAAAGTAATCTAAGTCCAAGTTGTTATATTGTGCACTGAAATTGATTTGGGTTTGGATGAAATGATTTTTTATGTTGCATGTACCGGAAGAAACTAGAGCAAGAGATGACGGCCATCGCGGAGAAGAAGAAGCGGAAGCGACAGAAACAACTGAGCAAGGACGCGGTGCGAGCTTTCAAGTGCAACGGCTTCAACCCCAACGGAGAGAACCCCATCTACACACTGCCTACCGACTATCTCTCCCAAGTCGTTGTTTTAGGTTCGTCAAAATCACATATTTTTCTCGTGCCAGATTCAGCTATTTGCATACATGATCATACATAAATGGGCAAGTAAGTGCATGGCTAACGCGGCAGTTGAAGTTTTTTATGCTTCTGTTAAATGAGGAAAGCATGTTCACCTGGATAAGATGTTATGTTTCAAGGGTAAGAAGGAGAGAGAGGGTACATTTCAGAAGAACTCGTTGCTCTAGCTTTTATTAAGCATGCACCAGTTTCAACGAAACAGTAAATTATAACGATAACTCAGAAAAAATAACGGTTTCCCAGAAAAAGATCTCATCCGATTGCGAAGGAAGAAAGAATATAGGATTGGAATCCGGGACATAAAGCGTGTGTTTTTTGATTATAGGTCACAATTTTTAAGCAACAGCTTTTACTGTTTTTCAAACATCGATCTTAAGTTAAAAATATAACTGCAATGGAAAACTTCATGGTTAACAGAAAATGGACCGAGGCAATGAAAGAGGAGTCCATTAAGAGTAACAAGACTCCAATTTTCTTAGACATCCTTGCGGATCTAACATGACGAGGTTTCTCTTGGTGGTAAAAATAAATTGATTTTTACCGTCACTAACGGCATTTAAGAATCGCCACTAATCACACCTCCTTCGAGAGACGATTTAAAACAAATTAAGATTACGACGATGTAATGTATCCGGCGTCAGACGCAGCATCAATGGCAAAACCGAAATAGGGTTCTTTAATGGGTAAGGAATTCGCGATTTAAATACTGATTCTTATAATGTAAAACTTTGCGAGGAACGCGATGATTCACTGGTTTTGTCTGAAACGACCTTCAGAGCTGATAAAAAGCTGTCATAGTTGAGGATGCGATGAAGATAATTTCCTACGCTACCTGAAGAGTCCACCTCCATATCAAGACGAACTCCCTACGGAAAGATAGGGCGCAAATACAATAACAGTGTTGCCTGTTTATTTGGGGACCCCAAAACTAAAAACACGGTATCTGCTCCCTATCTTTGCGTAGAGAGCTTGTCTTATTATAGAGGTGGACTCTGAGGGTAGGGTAACGTGGTATATACCCTCTATTACGACCTCAACTTTGAGAGCTTGCTTAAGCTTTAGAGTTGATTTCAGAAAAAACCAAGGGCACGATCGTGTTCCCTACAAAATTTTACATGAGAATCCGTGCTTAAATTGCAAATTCCTGACACATATAAGAGCTTAACAGCAATCCATCAGCAATCAAAGAAAACTTGGCCTATCAGATCAATGCGGAATCCATACTCGAAGCGTAAAAAGTAAGGGCGCATCTTGATTTCCATTTGACCCTTGTGCTCCGTGTAAGTCTATAACTTCCGGGGCACGTGCGGAAACAGAGATATGCCTTTACTGCCGTGCTAAGGAAGAACACCGTATGAGCAACTGAGAGTTGCAAAATTTCCCGTTGTAAAACATCTATTTTAGACGAAAATCAAGCACATTTTTCTTTGAAATTTTCAGATATTTTAAATTAAATTGCGTACAAAATTGTCTAAAAATTTTGGAAAAATATGCACTATTTTCTCAGTAAATTTGGTTTTTAAGGAAGGAAACTTGGCAACGTCTGAAGGCTTATACGGCGTTCTTCCTTAGCACGGCAGCGGAGCGACGAAATATACCGCTTTAATTCAGACATCGTCTGATAGTCCATTGTTCCCCTCTTCCGCGCCCGACCGAATAAAAAAAAATCGAGCGTCGAGAAGTTTTTTCGTTCGGGTGGCTTTGTTTTGCTCGAGTTGACAGTGCTCGCAGTTTATCACCGAAACGCGACTCTCGGACGCCGGGCGAAACCACCGCTTTTAAAGTTGCATGCCCGCTGCAGCTTCTCTCCCCTCGGCACAACCTCGTTTTCATATTCTTACGATGCTCCCTGACCTTCCTCAACGGGGTGCGAAGCAACGTTAAAACTTCCACTCCGCACCCCTCCTCCCTTTACTTCCCGATTCGGGTGCAAGGAAATAAACTATTACCCCTTGTAAACGATGCATTGCTGCTAAATTTATCGGGCAATTTACAGAGTATGTGAGTAACAAACAGTTCAGCTAAAATAGCACCCTGAATGGCTAAATAGCAATAAACTGATTGCAGTAGACGCACGAGTCATTTAGAAAGAAAAAGTTGGTAACGTAACCATCGTGCGGTAACTACATATAGTGTTGCAGCAAACAGCACATCTCTTTGAGGGAAAATTGTGCTCATATGAATGAGGTTATTCCCTCTGTATTCAGATTTTCAACTTCATGCTGATTTTTAACGCAAGATGGCTACATTACCAACTTTTTCTGTCCAAATAGCATCAGTTCGAGTGCGGCCAAGTGTAAGTCAAAATTTTGAAGAGTTTATGGTATAATGTTCACATCACGTCTTTTACTCTGCAATCAAGTTCATGTCCAAACAAATATTTTTAGTTTACTTGACGCGTACCGCGTAGTAGTGTAAAATCAACGGCCTATAGAATTAAGATGAGCATACATGCTTGAAATGTACATAGCTAAGTACCTAAATCACAAGAAACAGAAGAAAAAAAAATCATCACAAGATCCAGTCACCTCTCGATAATGCGAACCTCCTTCATTCGAAAACCTCGATACTTCAAAGCAAAGGACTTGTCCCGTGAAAAACTCAAAGCGAAAAATCGCGGTTGAGAAAAACGCATCCACGTTTCCATAATAACCTTTTAGCCACTGAGTGAGACTTACATTGACGCTTGATTTCCAATTTTCGATGTATGCAAGTCACCATCGGGGGCAAGGAAGTAATAATGAAATCTCCCTATGTGTATTTTTTCCGTATGCAATTATTCTTTCAGGACCCTCTTCCCGAAGAGCTCCTCAATTGCGCAAGTCATTAAGATACAGCGCACGCGGCTTAATGTATGTATTAAGATACATAAATTAGAAGTATGTATGAGTTGAATGTTTACACGTTCCTTACTTACAGAATGGGATACCGCTACAGCTTAATGTCCCACTCGAACGACTTTTTTGCACTAACCATTCTCTTCGAAAAGGGAGCTAAATGTCGTTTATATAACGGCGCCGTGATACATCTACTCCAGCTTCGGTGCTTTTTTTGTGCATACGTGAAAAAGTGAAGGCGCTCCAACTTTTCTGGCGTTCAGCGTTGAGGCTGAATGCGCTGGAACAAGTTTGAACTAGGAAAAAAGCCACATGTTCCCTCTTCACAATCGAACGTGGAAAAAGACTCACACGCCGTGAAGTTTGAAAATTATCTCCCTAGAGAGATTTTAGCAATCGCTCAAACGGATGAAATGGAGATTGGATTATAAAGATGACGAATTGTATTTTAGCTATTTAACCAATGTTAAATATAAAATTTCACAGGCGTTCGGTTACGAAGTCAGTTATCAGACTTCCCGTTTCGTAGTTCGCTTACCAAATGAAAATTTGAAGAGACAACGGATTGCATGGTGTGTCTCGGTAGCAATAAGGAAAACCTAAAATTTTACGTGAAATATTTCAAAAAATTTCAGAAATTTGTGAAATGTATTGAAAAATACCGGTCCCTTTCCATGTTTCGCAAACTTTAAAAATTGTTACTTATTTCTATTAGTGGGTGTTCCAGTGCGGATTGCGTACTTAAGCCCCTGAAAAATACGAACTACTTCACAGGCTCGTGAAATTTCATGAGATATTTCACAGAAATTTCCAAATTTCTTTCTTACGTTTCAAGCCACCCTGGATTAACTCAAATCCTGTCTGGAGGCCCAATATTGAAGGGGGAAATCCGCGCTCGTCCGACAACGTTGGAGATAATAAAGCTCCTCCTCAAGCCCATGAAGGAGCGGCGCTATCCCGGGCGACCGGCGCGGCGACCCCCCGCTGAAAATTTGATAATCCGCCGCATCAATTGACACTTGCGTCGCGGGACTCCGTTTTAAAGATTCAATTACTCTTTTACAAGTTTATAACTTCCGTTTCTCGCCCATCTCAATGGCGTATGACCCCGACCCCTCCACCCCTCCCCCGCCCCCTTCATCCCNCCCCTCCACCCCTCCCCCGCCGCGGCTCTGCTTCTCGTCCGCAGGGAAGGAGGAAAGAGGAAAAGGTGCGAAGTGTGAGGGGAGCAGTGGGCGGCGAGAAACAACAACAACGAGGGCTCTGTTGGAAAAAATTGTACTTTCATCGGAGAAATCACTATTGGAAAATGTGTTAACGGTGTCCACTAACACAGGCTGGCCAAAAACTAAGTACTTTTTCAGTACATTTCCAGGAAATTCAGTACCTCCTCATCAACAAATTCAGTGCTTTTTCAGCGACAGAGCACAGCGGGCCGATCATTGAAATTTTGTGTTTGTCGGGTGGACATAGATGACATGGGTTAAATGGCGAGGCGTGATTGGTCCGCTATGTCTTATCGCTGCTTTGCCGTGCCTTTGTCAAATGGAACAAATGAACGACATACTGTCGGAAACTTCAGAGGTACCGATAGCTTGTCGTGAGTGTCCGATATAGGCACGACAAAGCAGCGATAAGACATATCCGACCAATCACGCTCCGCCTTTTGACCTACATCATCTATGTCCGCCTGACAAGCGCTAAATTTCAATAATCGGCCCGCAGGAGAGAATTTCATGAGCCGCCCTGCGCCGTCCGCAACTCGCATGGCGCACGACCCCCCTTTCATTATTGCACTTCATCTAGCGTTGAGAGTTCACTAATTACTTCACACGACCAGTGTGTAATTTTTAAGGTCGGCAATTAAAAAAAGAATTAAAAAAAAAATTACACGATACATGAGTTTCTCCGCCAGGGAACTCTTCCCGCAAGAAATCGTTCACCAGCCGCCCGCCGGGAGAGCTGCGGCGCGGCGCGCTGCCGGAGCGGAACGCACTCCGACGCCTACAAACCTAAAGGGCTACTTCACGCATTGCGCAATGCTTGGAGTATCCATTTAGGTTTGTAGGCGTCAGAGCGCGTTTCGAGCTGGCAACACGCCGCGCTGCAGCAAGCCATAAACTTGCCTACAATTGATAGGTCATCGTGTTAAACTGTAAGCAATTTGACATCAAATTCGAAATTAGCGACTCGAAAAACATCAGTTACGAAACTTTCGTGATCTTCCAGTCATTATCCGGCATAATTCTTCCGATTCATGAGGTTTGAACCAGGGTGCGCCGCGGCGCGGAAAATCTCCGCGGTGCTCAATCGCTTTTTCAGTACCTCCATCTGACAAATTCGAAAAATTTCAAAAATTTGAATTCCCGCTCAAATTGCGAGAAAAACGAAGAAATTCCGGACTTTCTTGCGAAATTTCCGCACTTTTTCATGCTTCTGGACCGCTCATAGAAAATCAGTACTATTTCCGTACTTGTAGACACCGTGGTGTTGATACGGTAATAGAGCATTTGCAGGTGTCTGAAATTTGATGGATTTCGTGTTTCAGTGGAAACTACAGAGTGAACTGAACACGAGGGTACCCTTGGTTCATAAATTGAACAATTATTGGAGAAGATATGACAAAATGATCTAATCTGCTAAAATACATGTGTTTAAATGGGAAATGCCGCCAGATGACGTCACTAAGCGGTGCATTTTCTCACTTTTAAATCTATTTTTTTACTATTTCCCATATTAGAAAAAAAATATAAAAAATACTGTGAAATCAGCTTTTTAAGCACTTTCAGATGAAGCAATAAAAAATGTGCATGCAAATTCTCCATTCTTATCACTTCTAAATTTTGTGCACTCATTAAAAGCTCTTCCAGCTGATAATGAAATTGATAGACAAATCAATAGACAACGAAGACTTAGGGAGTAGTATCAAGCGATTTATTCGCTGAAACGGCTGATAATTATAGACTAAGGGGGGAAAATGATGGACTAACGGTAGGGTCTCTCGTGGGTTGCCGATAGTATATTACTTACATCCTTTGTCCATTCCGATCACCCGCTTTCACTAATAGGATCGCCCCATTTTCCTCTGTCTTCTATGTCTAGCTTTGTCTATAGATTTCAATAATCAACCCGCTGATATCTTTTAACCAAATTGAATGATCCATTTCCGTTCGTTGTCTCGCTGCGGTATCATAAGTCATAGCACTTTCATGGGTTCAGATGATTCAGATTATGATCTAATGTAATATTAGCAACGGGCATAAAAGTCGCTTTCATATCTAAACGCTAAAATTTCTCACAGTGCTTCGCGCTTAAAGGAACTTTTCCATATTGAAAAAAGCACGTGACGCAAGAAAATCAAAAGGATACGACTCGGATAAGGCCATGTGTTGCGTCGAAGATTTTGTTGATGTTCTTTGTTTCCCCAGGAAAAAAAAACGATGAGCATTTCAGTAGTTCGCGCCTCAAGAATTTCCATGACTTTTTCCCGGGAAAGCAGCATCGAATCTGTTCATCTGATTTGTTTGCCCCCGTAATGCACAGCACTTTAATATTGAGAGATTTCATTTTGTTCCAAGAGCGTATTCTTCAGCGCGCAAGGGTAATCCGAGTCGATATCCCAGCTGCCGATATAATAAGACTTCTTTCGGTAGGTATCAAATGATAATATACGAGGCTAAACCGCAGATCTTTAGGAGTTGTATAAAAACTTTGTTATTCAAATAAATCTTAGAAATGGCATCTGGAATAAAGCTACAATCCAATGATTCTAATATTAGACTATCAGGAATAATTATTCGATAATAATTTCACCTCCGAAATAACCCCACGCAAGCAGCAACCCAACGCATTTATTCACTGGTAAAAAAAACACATGGTATCTTAAGTCCAGACTCTTGAAAACATTGACAAGAAAATGGACTCTTGATTCAATCAGATTTGAGCTTAAATCAAGAACCAAGCCTCTTAATTTGAGCGGATTTCCTCTCGATTTAAGCTTACATCTCTGGTTGAATCAAGAGTCCATTTTCGTGTCATTGTTTTCAAGAGTCTGGACTCTAGATCCAATGTTTTTTTTTTTTTTTTTTTTTTTTTTTTTTTACCAGTGTTGGATTATAGGTATTGGGGGACTGTTAAAGTTTGAAAAAAGCTGTTATATATCCGTTAGACAGACAAAAAGTTTTAGACCGTATTCCAAATGAAGCGCCCAATCCAGGAGATGTAATTGAGTCCGTCCTTAATGGCTTTAAAATGTGTTACACCAATACGTAGAAAGAAAAAAAAATTCGTTATGCTTTTGTTAAACTTCCATATGTAAACCCACGAAGGGTATAAATAAAGGAATTATACGTCGATCTATCTACCTGAAACCTACCTGTAGAGAAGCTGGGGATTGCATACCACCAGTTTTTACGACCACAGGGTCAGAATAAATGTGTACGTGGAGAGACCACTCTGTGATCAAATTATTCTATACCGATAGTGAAGTTAGGCCAGCCTGCCTCGGTGCTTGTTATTCGAGCAGTCATGCATTTGTAGTTTCAAGGATTTCTTTGAAATCCATCGATTGAAAACACTCCAATCTTGGAGCAAAACGTCTCAAATTTAATAAGTGTAATTTTAGCCTCGTTTCCCCGGTTTCGTGTTACACATTCATGCGTCTGCAGTTTGGAGTACTTCTTTCAATATCATTGATGGAAAATGCTCCAATCTTGAGGCGAAACGTCTCGACTTAAATGTGTGTAATATTAGCCTCGTTTCCCGAGTTTCGTGTTTCACATATTATTTGCATCTATTTATCTGTAGTAGGAATTTTCGCGTATCATGCTAAAATGAAAAAGCTAAGGATCTAGCGGTGATGTGATGGTTGGGATTTGGTTATCTGTTTAGATTCGACGGTGGACCGCAACTGCTCGCAGTGCGCTCGGTGGTGCATCGACTACAGCGGGTGGCTCCAGTTCCAAAACTGCCTTTACAAGATCGTCCGCGACCCCCTTTTCGAGCTCTTCATCACCATCTGCATCATTCTGAACATCATGTTTCTCGCCACCGAGCACCACGGCATGAGCGACAATATTAAACGCTGCCTCGATGCCGGCAACAAGGTAAGTCATCCCTAATTAACTGTCTCGAGTTTTAATTCTTAACTATTAATATTATGTTATCGATATACCTTACTATTAAAACTTAAGGACAGCAGCTGTCGGTTTAACATATCGTACTGTTGGTACCAATTTTTCGGCGCTTAATAAGCTTCTCCCCCCCCCCCCCCCGAAAAAATGAAGGACGGGATTTGTGGTTGGTAAGGATCCAGAGTCCCAGTCTTTGAAATCCAAAAGATAATGGTGCGAGGGTCACTCAAAGGCCATTTCCTGCATTATACGAAGAAAATTCCCTAACATTTTCAAAAGAACTTTGATATTATTTAACTTTTTCTTTTTTTATATACTTGTAAGTGACATGAAGATCGTTTGGTAGGAATTGATGTACCCGTGACCAAATCTTTTTAATTTTTTTATGTTATATTTAAATTCTCGCTGAACGAATAAGTTATAACGCGCAACCATGTTTGTAGTGAACCCTGTGTATCTCCTTAAGGAGATGTGTGTTTACGAATTGAGTGTACGGAATCGCGCGCCTCCCGACGAAGTGAGAAATCTATTGCGGCAAGTAGACGCGAAACATCTTGCCGCCGAACCCCAGTGCATTGAGCAGTTAGATTTTGATAGTGAGATTGAGACTTGCGGACGCGTCCTTGATGCGATTCCGCAAAAAATTGTTGATTTCAAAAATGATAATTCCAACGGAGGCTCCCTCCAAATTAAGGCTAGGTTACAGCATCTATTGAATAGGTATAATAATCTAATCCTGATTACCAAAGTTGAAGAGGTCGAAAGACTTAAACAGTTAGAAAATTCTTCGATTTTTCGCACAATAACGTCGTCTTGTAAAAAATAAAATTGCCCTGTTTTTTTTTAATAAATGTTGCAATAGCTGATGTGGCTCGATTCCCAATCGTCGTCCACTAAACTGCCGTGCTCAGGAAGAGCGTCGTATGGACATTCGAGAGCTGCCAAAGTTTCTTGGAAGATATGTTTAATTTTAAGGAAAGATAGGAATATTTTCCCTTAGAATTATCAGAAAATTTAGGCCATATCCTCAATAAAATTGCTCAAGAAATTGGAAGACAAATATTCACAACCTTTCCTCAAAATCAGGGATTTGCCAAAGGACGTTTGGCAACGCCTGGTGGCTCCTACAACGTTCTTCTTTAGCACGGCAGTTAAGCTCGACACGCTGCACGAGTTGGCAACGAGTCGTGGCAATTTGCGCCGGGAATGAAGTCTGTAGCGTCTCATGAAAGAAGCATCCCTTTCGGGAACCGAAATAACAGCGTGAAAAAATCGTTCTCGTTGTCGCAGCGATGAGATTGCCTAGGTCCTGAACTCGAGCAATAACTTCATAAATTTTCTGTCGAATAAATACGGAATCGGAGACAAATTAAATAAACTGCTGCTTTATGAGAGAGCTCTTGGCCGCGCGCCAGCGAGACTTGTTGATGCATTACGCGGGATCCTCCAGGAGGAACTGCCGTCGCGGGGGACCGGGGACGTACCCGGTCCGCACCGGGCAAAGGTCCCCTCTCAATTCAGCAGCGCAGTTAATAAGAGGTTCCGTTCGTTTGCCGCTGTTGAGACAGGGATTGTTGGAGAGCTTTGTAAAATATCATGAAAAAACAAATATAATGAACCACTAGACAAGATACTCATCTAAAAATAAGTTTTTAAATTTTTAAATTTGTTTTTGTCGAATGTTCACGATTTTAGTAGGAGTAACGCTCAGAACTATTTGACTTTCTCGTAATTTAGACTTTTCGTATGATGTCCACGATGTGTATTTTGTTAAGCTTATTAGTGCAAAGTAACTGTGAAATATTTGTATTCCGATGAATAGGTACTCCGAAGATGGCGTAAGCCGAAAGGTGCCTCGGTAATTAATAAATATTCAATACAACACCTTGGTTCTAATTCAAATTTAAAAATTAAAATGGTGTTGTTCGAATCAAACCTTATTAAAAATAAGTATTGGCTGGTGTTATCAGTGGACCTTGGAGAGGATCTCTCCGCGGACAACTTCCAGCGGGTGACCAGAAGTTTTGCGGACTGGTGCGGAGTCAAGCTTTTCGTGAAAAGTGTGCTAGAGACTAAATGACTTGTATTGTGAGCCCTTAATAGGGCCACAGCCGATGCTATACCGTCAGGTGCTTCCGGCTCAACGCACCCTCCATCTCAATTGAGGGGGATTCAAAAACAAACTTTGAAATCTTGAAAAAACAAATTGGCCACTTTTTAAATTTGGGGAAAATACAGTGTGTGAGTGTTCTTGCATCAACAATTGCTCAAATCAACTCTTTACTAAGATATTAACATTTTTATTTTACATTGGTTACGAGAAATTTGAAATGCCCGGTCATAAGAAACCATACTCCAAACTTTGCGCTACACTTTGTGTTTCAATATATTTGCATGCTTCTTCCGTTTTTCAAAACGCCTTCAAATAATGATGATACTCCGCAACACACCAGAGGTCGAATAGTGGTATCACAGAAACCTGCTGCTGAGATGTGAAGTGCGGAAAGTGGATTGGGTCGATCCGCAAGAAACCAAGTTTTACGGGACACATAAGATTTGCGGGCTTAATGATTGATATTGTGAAGAAGAAAAAAACTTTAGACAAGGGAGACAAGCGGAACATGGAGCGATCCTTTTTGGTTGGAGCTGGTGGTTCTTGTGAAGTTTGGAGGACATTGAGGACTAACTAAACCTCTCTCGTGAATTGCTGATAGTTTGACTATACTTCCTTCCTCTGTCCATTGCAACCACCCGCTTTCACCGATGAGATCACTGCATTGCCACTTCATCACCTTTTGTTGAAAGCTTTGTCTGACAATTTCAATAATTAGCCCGTTGACAGTCAAACAATAAGCAGTCGCTACCAAACCAATTATGCAGACTCATTGAAGTCAGAGCTGCAAAGCCATTCGAATTTTGTGCAAGGAACATGTTGCCTTCTAAAAGCTGTCGCATTGAATGCGGGGCTCCTTTTATTCCTATTCAATGACGATCTAGAAACAGGCAATGCCTTTCAAGGTCATGCAGGCATTCAAAAAATTAATGCAACATATTTCTCTATACCATGCTTATTATCTACATGTTACACATCTCTATACCGGAGGACAGAGGGTCATTGCATGACATATTTGTTACTCATTCACCTAAATCATCCAATCTTAAGCATTTCCACCTTAAAACAATTTGTAAGCCTATGATCAATGATCTTGATTTCTTATCGACTGAAGGAGTAACCGCACTTTTACCAAATGGCGAAAAAATGAAAAAAAAATTTCCAGCTCTGCTGCCTGAAAGGTGATAATTTAGGACTTAACACTGTTGGCGGTTTTTCGCCGAGTTTTTCTTTTTTTCCCGGCGTGTCTTTGGTGTTGACTTTTTTCCAGTTTTTTAGCGTAGGACTTTGAATTAACTTAATTCTATGATACTCGTTGTAACTTATGATATGTGTGTACATATATATTGTATTATGCACCCTACTCAATAAACACTTATGACAAAAAAAAGTACTAAGTAAGAGAAGTTGCAGGACTCCGTACCGCTGAAAATTATCGGGGGCACTATGAGTTGAACAATGCTACTTTCGCAGGTATTAAAGACGTATGTGTTCTGAATGAAGTAACCAATTTTGAGACAGTTTTGAATTGTGCACTGAATGTGGCTCATGACCTAGTTAACAGTATGATCTGTGTTCCTTACTTACCCATTATGTTCGCACTGAGAAACTCGTATTTAGCTCGAGCTGACTAAAAAGCTTTTGCCACCAAAATTCCGCAGTCTCATTCATTATCCAGGAATAATCCTTCATTTTGGACCTTTAGTTCACCTGTCATCAAACAGATGCGACAGTAAACACTGTATTATACATGTAAAAAGCGTGTCCAATTCTGTCGCCTGTTGAGCAAAACTATTGGTCGGAAATGTCAGCTGCAGCAAGCCTTAGCTTTTGCCTCCCAAAAACATTACAGAAAACCATTTTACGTGGGACGAAATGAAACAGTAAAATATTACGAGTTATTGTGAAAAACTGTAGGGGATTGCACTTTCACTTCGCCTTTCCCTCTGAGCCTTGGAGAAAGAGACACTCTAAGAACAACGTGGGTCGAAATGAATGGAACGCGTTATGAAGTTGGCAATGCATTATATGTGCAAGTTCATGAGGAAACCAGCATGCCTATTTATGGTCGTATCGAAACATAGACTTTCGAGTATATTTAAAAAATGTTAATGATAAATAAAATTTAATGACTTCTTCAGGAGCAGTATTGAATTGTATTGAATTCGTTGGTCAAAGCTTCTTCACCTTGTTTAATACCTGACATATTTTTGCTTTCAGGTTTTCACGTCCATTTTTACCTTGGAATGTTCCCTCAAAGTTATAGCCTTAAGTAGTGAATTTTTTAGCTGTGGTTGGAACATTTTCGACTTAATCGTAGTATCAGTTAGCCTTCTGGATCTTTTTCTCGAAGTAGTAGATGGACTCTCAGTTCTCAGGGGACTCAGACTGGTAAGTTCACCTAATTATTCATACTGCTGAAAAACAATAACTTATACAGAAACTTAACAGAAACTTATATCTTTATTGTTAAGATTATCTAAATTTTAAAAATTTTACTTATTTACAATTTGGTTTCTTTATCTTTTTAATCAATATAATATCTCTAAATATAAAGTTAGTTAACCTTAGGTCTAACCCGACGGTCTATGTGCCGACTTTCAGAACTTTGAAAATATCCATATGAAACCGGGTTGCAAAGGTGTGTATAGATAAGAAACAAATGTATATAACTCGGGAAGGTTCTAATAAGTTCCCCCACGGAACAATAGATAAGAGAACATAAATTGGAAAAGTAACTTGAATTTAGAATTATTGTAGTTGTAAATCAAGTGGGCTTCCAAAGGCGCACTCATATAATCGCCTTCAATTGGAAGAGTAGACAAAACCGTTCATCAGCGTCTGTATAGTGGTATCCGGTACGAGTGTACCATGTGTCCCATTTGATCATTCATGATTCTTGCTTGATGAAATCTTTGATTTCACTCTGTCCATCTCCAAGGGCTTTCAGGGCAATCCCTCCGATCATCCGGACGATCAGGCACAACCGAGTGCAATTTCATATCGGCGCCACTTACTTGCCAGGAGCAGCCCGTGCTCAATACAACGACAGCTATGCTGAGCGGTTCCTGGGACGCCTGGGCACTTTCATCGAAGTGATGTTCCCCGATAGTACCCTCGCAAAGAGCCCTATATTTACTTCAGAGCGTATCCTATCTCCTCCCGATTATTCGGCAGAATTCGAAAATGACCTGAAATCGTACAAACTACAATCAGCAATGGCGGCTCGGTAGACTCTGCAAAACCTGGGAGGAGCGTGTTGAACGATAGAAGCAGCCCGTGCTCATTATACAACGACAGTAATGCTGAGCAGTTCTTGAGGCGCCTAGGTACTTTCATCGAAGTGATGTTCCCCGAAAGTATCCTACAAAAGAGTCCTCACTTCACTTATTGGCGCAACCAATCTTGCCCCGATTATTCGGCCGACTTTGAAAATGACCTAAATTCTTATAAGCTACAGGCCGAAATGGCGCGGCGGTTTGGCAGAAAACCTGGGAGGGAACGTGTTGAACAATGAATTATAAGTCTTACTGAAGCAGCACCCAGCATGAGTGGACGAAGAACCACGCGCTGATGTCCCCGGTCATGGTGAAACTTCCATAGACTTAGACCTGCAGAAGAGGCGTCTCTCCTCTAAACTTGAGGACAGAAGAAAGGACCTTTATCGACACGGATGCCCTCGGGCGTACACATGTCCACATCGTGACATAAACTAAATGATCTCGGTCCTCAGATTTCATCAACCACGCAAGCTCTCGAGCGGGTAGAAAAGCTTGCGAGATGTAAAAAAAAAAACACAATTTGGCAATTCGCAACTAACACCAAAAGGAGATAACAGGGTTGCCACGGAATGAAGAAAATTAAATTCTCACACGTTTCCCTGATTTCCCTGTCACGTTTTGATAAAATTCCCTGTTAATTGAAGACATGCCACTTGGTTAAAATGACATCATTTCCAATAGTTTTCACGCAAAATCTATTGTTTGAAACGTCAAACCTAGCCTAAAAAGCAAATAACGATGACTAAATAATTTTTCCCCGACATTTTTGTCATTATCCCTGACTTTTTCCTGTCACATGTTGATAAGATTCCCTGTTAATTAAAGATATGCCACATGGTTGACCAGACATCATTCCAAATAGTTTTCACGCAAAATCTACTGTTTGAAACGTCAAACCTGGCCTAGAAAGCAAATAACGGTGACTTAACAATTTTTCCCAGGCATTTTCGACATTTTTGTCATTTCCCCAGCCAATTCTCGGGTTTCCATCACTTTTTAAAATTCCCTGACATTTCCCGGTTTTTCCTGAATGTGGCAACGCTATGATAACTCAAAGCAAAGCGGTTAAAGGGCTTGGATTTGATTTGAATTGACAAGAATCGACGGGAGAATTAATCTCCGTCGAACTGCGCGGAGAAGAGGTGGAGCCGGGCTCAGNTTAAAATTTACGGAGAAGGAAACCCTTTTTACGTATGGATTTACGAGAGGTTAAATTTAATTAAAGTAATCGTGATTAAAACTCTGGACTTTTTTTACTTTAATACTGTGCATTTGAGAAGAATGTATTATGGAACTCGCCCCTTAGGTTCGAATCTGCCGCGAAATTACAATCCAAACATGCGACGTGCGCGCGCAGCAGAGCCTCACTTTTGGGCGCCTCATCCCTCCCGTGTGTGGCACCCGACTTTTCCCTGTCACATGTTGATAAGATTCCCTGTTAATTAAAGATATGCCACATGGTTGACCAGACATCATTCCAAATAGTTTTCACGCAAAATCTACTGTTTGAAACGTCAAACCTAGCCAAGAAAGCAAATAACGGTGACTTGACAATTTTTCCCAGGCATTTTCGACATTTTTGTCATTTCCCCTGACAATTCTCGGGTTTCCGTCACTATTTAAAATTCCCTGACATTTCCCGGTTTTTTCTGAATGTGGCAACGCTGGGATAACTCAAAGCAAAGCGGTTAAAGGGCTTGGATTTGATTTGAATTGACAAGAATCGACGGGAGAATTAATCTCCGTTGAACTGCGTGGAGAAGAGCGTGGAGCCGGGCTCAGTCTCGTCCCATCCACTTATCGTCGCCCCTCTGACGCAGGGACATATCTCATTTTCGACGTGAGACCTGTTTTACATATGGATCCATGCTTTCTGGGGCTCATGCCCGAATCGAGATACGCCCTTACGTCAGACAAACGACATTATTTCTCCTCGGACGCGGTTTCACGTGTGCTTACAATGCGGCCGCTTCCCACACTACCGTGGAAAGGAAGAATACCGTATGGGCCTTCCGCCGTTGCCATGTCTCATCGTAAAAAACGAATTTAATGGGAAATTGTGAATATTTTCCTTCAAATTTTACCCGGAACTAAGTGCACGCAATTTGATCTAAACACTTAAAAATTTCAAGGAAAATTATGCGTAACTTTCCTCTAAAATACATACATTAACCAGGAAATTTGGGAAACTCTCGAATCTTTATAAGGCGTTCTCCTCTAGCCTGTTCGTATAAATTCACGCTGCGTTGCGATGTCTGGCATCCACCCCCCGCCTTCACCCCCCACCATTTTGTCGATGAAATCCGGCAGATATAAGAGACGCATTAACCATCGACGAGGCAACATTTTTGACTGGTCCGGTGCATTTACCGTCTGCTGAGGGGATGTTTGCTTGAAAGTGCTCTCAAAAGGCTAGCAGCGTTTTGCTCTCCTGTGGAAAACTGCCGTACGGCCATTCATACGTGGCAAAATTTATGTTCGATAAAACATCAAATTCTTTGAACAATTTTGATTTTTCGTTGATTTTATCGCTAAATTTCATTTACGATTTGATCCGATCGCTCAAAACTATGTATTATGCTCTGAGAAATTATACGCGACTTTTCGAGGCTTTTGCGTCATTGTTTAGCCCCCAGCCCTGAGACGCTAGCGCTCATGAATTGGGGCTCCGAAACTCGGAAGTAAAAAAGACGTAAACCCCAAGGATTTTTAACAGCCCTCTTCTCCCCTCCGATGTATGCCAGACGGCAGTTTCCGGGGCCGCAAACGGATCTTAAACCTTCCTCTTCAAGGAAGTCCTGCCCTTAAAAACTAGCCTCTTATCTCTATTCTCTTGTTCTTTTCTATTTTTCCTTTTGAGGCCTCAGTCCCTATGCCTTTACTTTTTTGTTATTATCAATTATGTTTTCATTCATTGTATGAACAGAATTTATTGTACTAAAGTTTTATGCGGCAAATAAACAAAANAAAAAAAAAAAAAAAAAAAAAAAAAAAAAAAAAAAAAAAAAAAAAAAAAAAAAAACAGCCCTCTTCTGTTGGTGTTTGGTTCGTGCCAATGGTCCCAACAATCTTAGTCGATTGAAAAGGCAAATGCTACGTTAATAGAAAAAGTTTCCTATTCTGTGAAAATAGGAGCTAATATTGTTACTTAGAGCTAGTGTTTCCAGCTTCACATCCCATTGCCCCTTAACTTTGTTCTTTGTCTTTATTTATTTATTTTCCTTAGTTTTATCTATTCTTCTTGAATTTCTTTGATTATTGTTAATTTAAAGTATAGTGAAATTCTCCGTATTTTCCACTAGAGCTAAGGAAAAATTTAAAAAGACCATCTACGTCTAGTAATTTTACATGTATTTTCGTTATTATTTAGATTACACGAAGTAAAAAAATAAAAATTCCTAGCACGGCTGCGTTGTTGGTCTCTTCCATAGTTTTAAAGGGCGTATCATTCTACTACCAAAATTAGTTGTGTGAAGCGAATCTCCTTCTGACAGCGCAGATTCTGGTCTTTTTAACATTACATCTTAAAGGCTTATAGACCTTTATTTATTTCACTTAAACAAACTTTTTTCCCGACAACTAGCTGTGTAATTAACGATGTCATGCACCCCATTCTTACCCTGTTGCGAAGGAAAGGAACTTGGAAAAGTTTCTTTTCAGGGGGATCATACCGCTGTTGATAAATTGAGCTTATAAATAAAATGAATGCATTAGAATTCGGTATTTTGTATTTGTTTTGTATTTTATGAATGTACTTGTGATTGAAAAAAAAGAAGTCGATGGAGAAAAAATATGAGGCATTTGTAGGCGAATCGTCTGTGGAGTGAATTGAATGAGAACTTGGTTAAGAGTGACGATCAGCGCGACGACTTTTTGTTCCTTTCAATTATGAGAAGTACTATAACTGATGTAAATACTCCGTTTCCTATCGGGTCGAGAATGTAGCCATTGCTATGTCAAATCGAGTCCAGCGTAATTCAGCAGTAGGCAACACCCATTCAAACAATGATCAAAGCGATGAATTCAGATGTGAACAAGCAACTAGCGGCCATGACACGAGGGCTAATTCGTCGCTTGGCTGACATAACTACATTCAGAGATGAGCCAAGGAACACGGTGAGTTATATGGACAACGGGGTTCATCGCAAAGTGTAGTTATATCCTTATGTCAGGAGGGCGACGAATTGTCCTTGCAATGCTCCAGATGGACGACTAACTCTGGCGCAAGACCCAGATGAAAATTTCATTTACGTCAACGAAGAAGGGAACAGTAATGCCTTCAAGGAGAGGGTATTGACTCTCTAGAGTCCCGGACATGTGAAAGAATTTGATAACTGATTGCCTCATTTTGGCTAATGAGTAATGATGGCCCAATTCGAAATATAATTCCGGAAACATTCGTGGATATCCAATTAAATCCGGAAAACTTGATATTACGTGATCGAATAATCATTGGCATCTCTAATTATGAACTTCGCCAACGCATGCTCGGAGAGGAATACGTCTTCGATAGGACGGTCAAGCTATGCATCAATAATGCTCAACATATGTTGCACTAGACCTTAACAATTATTCCTGAGAATATAGTCGAGCTTGCTGGAATTTGACTGAAAGAAAACGAAAACCGTATGAGGAGGAGGTATGGAGAGGAAGAGCAAAAGCTCACTTCACACCCACATCCCATGAAAAGTTTTCAAAATCTACAACAGTACTTACTTATCACATCGGAGTCACCGTTTTAAATTTTAAAGAATGGCGCATTACCTAAGAATATCATGAATAATTTATTTATATGATCAATTAAATACAATACTAATGAGTACCTGAGGAAAAATATAATCGTCCCACACTGATGGTTATGTTCAAAGGTATCAGTTATTACAATTTTGCTTTAATAAGCTCCCAGCTCGAAATGACCATCTGGGGAAAAACTACACAGTAGACGATTAAAATTTACCGATTATGCGTCAATATGGATCGGCACATCAGAATAATCACGGGTCATTCCAATGCACTGATTTCGAAAAATCGTTGATAAATTTTTCTCCAGGTGCCTCGGCGAAAAGTTTGGCGACAGTGCGCTTTCGACGACGCGCTACCTCGAGATTCTGATCATTAATTAAAAAACTTAGTTTAGCGGTTACTGGCACTTGGTTTTCCGCTCGTTCTGACGCTATTTGTATGCCTGAAAGGGTGACGCTGTTAGCCTTTCAGACTTATTTTCATGAAAGCTGGAGACGCGATTTCGCTCGGTAAACAGGTTTGTTTTTACGTTACGGAACGCGCTCAGCGGCGTGGCGTGCGTTGCGATATATCGATTGAAATGCCATTTAAACTCGTGGAAACAGGGTTCTCGCATCAAACACCTTCATGATCGATTATCGACCATAGCTTCAAATGAGGAAATATCGTATATCGATCATTCACGCCTCGCCACTGAACGCGCTGCATTAATTTCGGAGGCGATACTTACGGTAGGCGCATCCGACTAAATTTTAACTCGTAACCAGTGGCGATTCTTGCAAGTTCGTAACCCTGTTATTCCTCCATATACATCCAGTGCAGATGTCGATTTCAGGTGAGGCGGACTGCCTCGCCATAAATCGATTGTTTTACGTACATTTGAATGGAGGAAAAACAGTAAAGGCAACTTTCAAGAATCGTCACTGCTCATGGTTAAGTTAATACAGAAAATAGATTCAGTTTGAACTATTAAAAACTTACTTGAAATTAGTGAGAAAATGGTCAAGGCTCCTCATCTTCATGTGGGGACAAAAAAATTGAAGCGAGTTCCGCCTTTCGTTACGAGTGAGAGAAAGGTAGATGACATGCCATAGGAAGAAGATTGAACCATCAATACTTCAGAATTTATAATCGTACGTAATATATGAACCGTGCAACTTGAGGTTTTCTTTGTTATTGAGCAACCACATTCTGAAAGAAAAGTTCACAAATTCGAATAAAAATGGGCCATTAGGTGGGGCTGAACTAGAAAAAACGTCACATAGTTGTGTCATCAAAATCTTACGCAAAATGTGAATCCCATACCATAATGCCTACTACGTAGAGTTCATCACGAAAGCTTTGAATTTCCGTTCGTTTTCACGGAAAATTCGTACCATTTCCGTACTTCCGAACCTACCTTCCGAAATCCGAGCTTTTTCAGTGTATCCGCACTTTTTCCGCACAGTAGACACCCTGCTTTTAATTGCAGCCTTCACTTCATTGAATTTGACTTGTTTAGGGTATTTTGTGAACTGTAGCGTTATGCATCGTTGGTTTCATTTATGGAAGTAAGAGAAGGAAATGAATGCTTGGAATAAATCATAAATACATTCGGACACTTATGCAGGGGTCCGATTCGGTGATAACGCCAGGGTATGGATATAGATTTTGTACATCGTTCTAACAAAACTAAAATTGTGCTGTTTGATTTGTTGCAGCTGAGAGTTCTTAAGTTAGCGCAATCTTGGACGACCATGAAAGTTCTTCTGAGCATCATCATCTCGAGCATAGGAGCCTTGGGAAACCTGACATTCGTTTTAGTTATTGTTATTTATATTTTTGCTGTGATCGGAATGCAGTTGTTTTCCAAGGACTACACTCCAGAGAAGTTCGACCCGGACCCTATTCCCAGGTAAATCATTCCTTGAGACATCTCTACGCAAGTGTTAACAACAAAAAGCGATGCGACACACAGTGGATCGCGTCGAAAGGAGAGGTCGGACAAAATTTGGAAACTTTAAACGCTTCTAACTCCGTTCACACAAAACTATGATGTTCTAAAAGTGGTTTCATTGGTTTCCTCGTGAAATTTTTACATTTTCAATCCTTGAAATATAATTTGAGACGAAATAAACATCAAAATTTGCAGCTTCAGTCAAGAATGTCATATCTAACCTCTCTGATTGACTCGATCCACTGTGCAACATCTAAATGCGTTCTTTACGATGAGACGTTCTGGTAGTTGAGATACGTGGAAAAGAACTTGAGAAGGACATTCAAATCGATGAGACCGATAAGAGATAAAAAACATTGGAGTTTTGATGAAACCTTTGAGAGAGTCTATACTCGATAAAAACGTCTTTTTTAGCCACAGCAGGAGCTAACTCAAAAATATTTTAGAGAACACTTGCATTAATAATTAAATTCAAAGGCTTCTGCAACGTACCTAAAAAAACTACTTTGTTTGAAGGCGCGGGTCTCGACTACTAAGCGTTATAAACTTTCAAATCCTATACAGGACGCAGTCCTCGTGGGACTTTAAGTTTTCATAAACTTTGAAATCGATCTTCGTCGTATAGTGTTCATTTCTGATTTCTGTGTTTATCTATTCCCTGCTTCTTCAAGCACAATCAAGTCTATCCATCTTGGTACGCTGGTTTGTTTTGACGAAAGTGTTGGCGCGTACTCGTCATCCCCGTTTTTCGACGAATCTCACGGTTTAGTCGTACGCGGCGATGCCCAAGTTGAATACTCGCCTGCCGACCGCGGTGTCGTGTTCCAATCTTACCCATGGAGAAGAGCTTCTCAAGACGATATTGAGCGCACCAGGCGTGCCCGCATCATTATGGGTGGACATGAGCCCCTCCGACGTTACGTCGCCGTCGTCCGAATGGACAGTAAACACGATCACGCCTTCGTCTGCGGAGACCTATCTGCTCATCAACTAAAGGCCAGAGTGTCTGCCGAAATAGACAGGCAAAAAATCAGTACTTTTACAGTACTTTTCCAGTGCATTTCCAAGAAATTCAGTACCTCCTCAACAGAAAAATTCAGTACTTTTTCAGTGCCTCCAACAAACAAAATTCGAAAATTTTAAACATTTTGAATTTCCAGCTCAAATTGCGACGAAAATGAAAAAAAACTCCGGACTTTCTTGCGAAATTTCTGCACTTTTCCAGTACTTCCGGGTCGCCCTTGAAAAATCAGTACTATTTCCGGAAATTCCAGCCATGTCGACACCTTGAAAGGCTGCCATGCTGCAAGAAATACCTAATGACAGATCTGCCGGCGCCCTCTGAAATTCATAGCTGGTGAACACAACCCTTTCACGTGCCTTAGCTCGGTACTTCTTGCTTGAGGTATTGGCCAAAATCGAGGTGTGGTGGTACATCCCGTGCTAAATGAGTTTAGACTCTAAATGCCTAACGACTGCAATGGCCTACTCATCTGAGTTCAACCAACCGGGGAACAGTCTCCTGACCGATACCTGGGGCCCTGGATTGTATCAGATTACTAGTTTTTGGCTTTTTCAATCACGTGCGTTCCGACCGTTTTCTCAGTGCAATTTCCCTTCTGTTTTCTTACGCGTTCCGCGGTAATTGATAGCTTTGACCGTTGCCAGTCTAAGAACAATGAATAAGTTCAATGTTAGTGCTCAGAAACCTTCCTCTATCGGTAAGGTGAAGTCGAGTCATCTAACCCCACCGATGTGCTTCGACGATTCGTTGCGCAGTTACGCATCAAACCCTTTCTTTGATAACTCGCACAGATTCATAGTCCGCGGTGATGCTTGAATCTTCCGCGACCCCGCCGCACACGGAGTTGTATTCCAGTCATATCCCCGCCGACGGGCAGCAACCGGAGGCCTAGCCCGCTGCAACCGTGTCCAGATGGTGATTGGTGGCTATGAAGGCACGCTGGGATATGCCATCCCTAGCACTCAACGGTACGACAGTACCATGCTTTACACAAAAGGTGCCTCTTATTCCTTGCTGGCAGCCCGTGTTGACCAAGAACACCTGGCTGTAGCCTACCTACCTTTTCCAGCTGCAAATCTCCACAGGATCATACAACTCGCCCGCAGCGAAGACGAACAATTCCTGCGGGACTACATATACTCTGATAACATTTAGAAAGCGCACAACTTGAAGTTGAGCCCTGTGTGAAAGGCGGGGCAGTGGGCACCTACATCAGAGACAAAAATTCCAGATTTGTCTGAAAATGATACCATTGCAGTTAGTGCAGGGGCCAATGATTGGTATTCTAAGACAACCCCTTCGATTGTTCATCAGTTGGAGAACTCGGTAAAATATCATGAAAAAACAAATGTAATTATCCTCAGTATTCCATATCGCAAAAATCGCAAATTATCGTAACCACTTCATGGTTAAAAAAACAAATGAAGGTATTCTTACTCAAAGATTTTCGAGTGAGTGACAGTAAGTATTAAAATCGAAAACTATGTTCTGATTTCAAACCATTGCCGCTCCACGCATTAGTCAGGAGGATGTTTAATGATTTTAGTAAATATGTAATGATTTTCGGTAAACTAGTCTTAATGCATATTCTTTGAAAAATTCGCTCCCTAACGATTTATATTCCAGCAGTAAAAAAACAGTTTAAAACTTGTTTCCCGCAACTTCGGACGAATATTTATCGAGATGGCAAAAACGTCTCTGATGCGCCTTGCAGTCTTCCAAGCCCCTCAATAAACACGGACAGAAGTCCAGTACAGGCTTCTATATTTCCTGGAGAAAATACAGAAGAACGAGAATCTAGGAACCAATTGAGGAGCTTTTCGGAAAACGGGCACATAGCAAAAAATCGCGTTGAAGAAAAGTGCATTTCAAGTTTCTATCATTTTTGGCCACTGACGGTACCTTTCATCGCAGCTTGGACTCCCGATTTCGAACGCGGGTCACTGTCAGTGGCCATACAACAATGATCGAAATTTTAAATGCAAACGCAAACCAACGCAACTCAAACGCAATTTTTGGCCAAGTGCCTTTTTTCCGGAAAGCTCCTTAATTACGTGATTTTGTATTCGTGCAAAGGTGATTTCCCGGTACTTGATCGTTTCGTTCACTTTGATTTTGGGCAGAGCTCCACAACGGGAGGTCAACAAACCACCGTATTCGTAATGCGACTTTCAAGCAGTTCCCCTCTTTAAAGTCACGTAGAACCCATTTTGAGGGACCGGGACTTGCCTTTATATGCAGTGTCCGGGGCCGGGCGTGGGTTTCAGCCATGACACGACAAACCCGAGACCTGCACCGCGGATTCAGCGCGACCGTCTCGCGGAATGAATTATGAGGTCACCCGGAAAAAAACTTCAAGTCCACTGTTTGAGCTTTTTATTCGTCGACTCGCTTCTCCTCTGCTTGCAAATCTCACGTAAAAAAGTTACACGTTACGTTAAAAGTCACGTGTAAAGTTAACCAGACTGGACAGAAGACAGGCTATAACTGGTCCGAGGGTCATGTTTTGCGGCAGTGGCGATCAATTTCAACAGACCGGGCACTGCTAACTTCTTGATATACACGGGGTCCTGAAGTTAACGTACTTAACTTTCAGGATCGATTTTTCGGCTCGAAATATGACTTATTTTCTGGTACACATATGGCCGAAAACGCTACATATCTGAGCAATTCGCTTCCAAAGATGCGAATTCTGCCGTGAATCCGTTAAGATAGTTTTTTACGTCCCGCATTTTTTGGAACTTGGCACTTTATGAAATGAAAACTATTCTACCAATGCACGTCAAATTTTCAGGTTCAGTTCTTGATAGTTTCTGCAAAATATGTATATATGTATGAGCCGCTTTTACGGCGCGCTAGGGCTCTCTGCGACGCCTATTCTCCACAGGAATCTGTCACATCTGTCTGTCTGCAAAATAATTTTGTAAAAACACTGTCCCGAGGTACACAAGTTTTTCTGCTATGATGCATTGCTTCCAAAAAATTTAAAATGACGTAAACGGTCCTTCACACTGATGTACCTCCTCGTAATTGTGTTGTAAGTGGCTGAAACTTGGAGTGGAGAGTTTTTTCTTTTTTAGCGTACTGTTAATTTTTCGTGTTTTTAAGGGCGCGCGTCTTCGGAAAAAGCCTTTACAATTGTTCTCGGATTTTAAAATTACGATAACTTTATTGGTAGATGGTTTTCGGAAAAACAAATAACGGCACGCACAAGAGCGCACAAAATCAAGGGGAGTCGGCAGAACACAAAGTTTCCCAGAAACGCGACATTTCGACGCAACAAAACTTTGAAAAAGTTTCAGAATTTCGAAGTTCCTTGCTGGGTACGCAATTATTATTGCAAAGACAGCATAGCGCATAGGTCACTTGAGGAGCGTTTTTGGGCATATCGTCACCTTCCAGGCAAAGTATCACGAGCGCCATGCGACGTTTAAAAATTTCCGCCGCCATTTTATTTTTTTACTGAGGAATTGTTGGTTGAATCTGTTTGAAAATTTCACCAAATTTTATCGGCAGCACAAAGAAAATTCGGTGAAATTTTCGGACAGCTTCGTTGAACAATTTCTCTATAATAAAATATAATGGCGGCGGAAATTTTTAAACGTCGCATGGCGCTTGTGATACTTTGCCTGGAAGGTGACGATATGTGTCCAGGAGAAATGTCATATTCTGAACCGAAAAATCGATCCTGAAAGTTAGGTACGTTAACTTTCGGACACCCTGTATGTTCAGAAACCGACGGTTGGATTCGCCTGATGATGACGATGATCACACGATGGTATGAAGGCATCATTTTTTTACAGGTGAAACTAATTTGGGAAACCGTTCGTCGCTATAAGTATTATCGTATTGAGCTATCGAATATTATTTAATGTTGCACGTTTGGTTTCAGGTGGAACTTCACTGATTTTTTTCATTCGTTCATGATGATTTTTCGGATACTGTGCGGTGAGTGGATCGAGCCGCTGTGGGACTGCATGAGAGCAGAGGAATATGATGTGAGTAAAAGAAAATATATTTAATTAAGTGTGTAGAAATTCATGTTCATGAACATATTCATATTGTTAGTATGCTGTTACAAATGCGTGGTATGGAAATTACACATTAAGATTTCAATTAAGAGTATTGAATCAATACGTGAAAATAACATGAGTGTACTTGAAATGACGAAAAAATATTAAAACAGGAATACTGATTCTCGTTGTTACAGGGTTTCGGTACGTGCTTTGCAATCTTCCTGCCTGCCCTAGTGATGGGAAACTTCATGGTCCTCAACCTCTTCTTGGCCTTATTGCTCAACAGTTTTAATTCTGAAGAACTGAAATCAAAAAAAGAGGTAAATTTCGTCCGTTTAATCTACTGCTTCAATCGACTTCGCAAGATTAAAGGAAAAAAGATTTCATGTAGAAAGGATCTTTTTCGGTAGACTAAAGTTTGAAGGAAAAAGCATTAGGTATATTATAGAATAAAATAAGTTTGTCATGGATAAACATTTTTGCAAAGGCGCACTATTAATAAAGGCATAATTGCGGAAAACCTGAAAGGAAAATAAAAATAGTTTCAATTTAGAATCCAAATTCTGTTTTTGCCTAGTGACATAACTCGTGTCACAAATCGGATTTGAAAGCAAGCAATTTCGGTGATTTACGCACCTACAATGTAAACGCGCCGCACGGAGGGGCAGCCAAATTAATCGGCCCTCCTACTGGTCTACAAATATCCAACACAGGTTGAAAAATAGGTGCTGCGCGGACTCGCAGGACAGTAGGCGAATCAAAGGGCCGAAGTCAAGCCGGAGTGGTCACCGCTACCTGGAATGATATCGACGAATAACTACGAAGTTAGTTTGTTTTTTTTTTTTTTTTTTTTCCATTGCGCTAATGGTGTGAAAAACGAAAGTTTCGACGAATATTTCTGAAAATAACGATGCATTAAAATCAGGAGCCTTGCATTCTCCCGGTCGCTGAGAAGCGATATCCACGAGCATTAGATTTTTGAGACATTCGCGTTACATTTGACGGTTACGTACTGTCGAACAAGCAATTAGTTCCTTTTTGTATTCTTCTTAGAAACAGAGCGCTATTAGTGTGAAAAACGAATATTTTAGGATTTACGATGCACTAAAGTCAGGAGCCTTGTGATCTCCTGACAGGCGGAACCTGCGAGGGTTTGATTTTTGAGATATTTTTCTGACCTGGTGACGATTCTCTAGCCGGACGGGACGAGCCGCGACGCAGAGGAGGCCCATTACAGGCGGAGCTGGAAGCACCACGGGCAGGTGGTGGCCAAGGTGGCGCGCAAGTGCTGCGACTGCTGCTACCCGGCGCGGACTCCGGCGCCCCCGCCCCCGCCCCCGCCACCCACCAGGACCCAACGAGCCCGCCGAGTCGTGCTTTCCTACCGTGAGGTATATCCTCGAGCGCTCATCCCGCACGTCGCATCGATGTCGCGCACCCGCCCTCAAAATTGCACATTCACAGCCGATGTATTTTCAAGACCCCGTGCTCCGATCTCACTGGAAAAAAAAAAAAAA